GGTGGATGGAAGGTCCCAGTTTAAAGAATCGATCAAGGAATATATGGTGTTTGGTGCTTGTTGTTCTGCTAATGGTTACTTTATGATTCAGTTTTTCTTATATTCTGTTTCCCTTTATCTAAATTATAACCTTCTTTTCTATTATTAGGAAACTGGCTTTAAGGCATCACCCTGATAAGAACCCAAATAACCCAGAAGCTGCTGAGAAATTCAAGGAGATCAACAATGCCAACTCCATCCTCAGTGACGAGAACAAACGTGGCATCTATGACCAATACGGCTCAATGGGTCTCTCCATAGCAGAGCAGTTTGGTGAAGATGCCGTCAAGTACTACTTCCTTATGTCCAAGTGCTGGTTCAAGGTGATTGGCATCTAAAAGCAAAGCAGCAAACCAGGGGATCTGTGGCTGCAGGGTTTAGTTGGCTCTTAAGTCTTTCAGCGTATTTAACATCGATCTGTTTCAGACCCTGTTTTGCTGCTGCACCATCTTCACCTGCTGCTGCTGTTTCTTCTGCTGCTGTTGCTGCTGTGGAAGGTGCAAAACTCAGCAGGAAGACGAATACTTTATGGACCCAGAAGATCTGGAGGCGGATTTTAATGAACAGGAAGCAGGTAATAGACTTTCTTTTTTTGCTTCCAGCTACTAAGTTCTTGTTTTAAAAATGAGTTGTTTTATGTCCAACTCTTCTTTTAAACCAAAAGAAAGACATGTTTTTTTTTTCTGTGTGTTTTAACAATACATATTTGAAAGAATCACCTAAATCAGACAAATATCTCTCCTTCCAAAAGTTTAAATTTTTTTGTATAATTTACATTTTTATTTAATACTAAATTGTGTTTTTCAGCACGAGACCATGTAGTAATTAATCAGCCCCGCTGCAATGAGGACTCAGGTAAAAGTCTTTCCTGCTCAGCTAACAGTGATCGGGCCCTTGCCTTTCTGCTGCTCTGTAATGTTTGATTCGACTGACTGGGCTTCCTGTTTCTATTCTGATTTTATGCCTGTGTCATAATGCTTTCATAAAAAAGAAAATGAGAGAGGAAGATCACTAATAAGTCCCTTTTGCCATCTTATGGCCACAACCAGCACAAAGTTGCAGCAGATTGCCAATTGGGTATTTGGCCATCTGCCAAGATAATCCCTTTGCTTTCTGTTGCAACAAACAGGTTCTATGATGCTAAATGAAGCATCCCCACATTATAATGATGCCACCACTGTGTTTTATTTGCTGGAGAAGTTCAGAGTGACAGGAAGTTTTAACAGCAGTTTGCATGTAGTCCAAAAATAAGACTGTCATCCAAGCAGAGCGTCTTCTAGCATGTTTGCTGTGTTCTCAACATGAATCTCAGGAAATAGAAGTTATTTTTTTATTGGGCACGGCTAATAATACCATGGAAAATGGCATTATTAACTTTGAAATCTGTATTTAGTGATGTATTTTAGCTATGAGCTCATTTCTGGTGGTTAATTATATAAATTCCTGGATTTTTTATGTTTTCTTTAAGTGTCAGTGCTTTTTGATTGGCCAAAACTGAATATGGATGGCTCTTGTTTAGCTTTATGGTCCCTCTAAAGCAAAGGGAAACATGGGGCCAGTTTAACATCTCCTTGGAAATATGACGGATCAGAACAGAATAATGTGTTATGCTTCTCCCCTGCTGGTTAACAGGTGACTATAGAGGGGGATAGAAAATCAAAAAACTCTAATGGTTAGTGCTACGTTAGTGCAGATTTGTGCAGAAAAAAATGTTTGCGCTACTTTTGTTTAAGAGATATTAAAGATTATTTTTCAGGTCATCCAAAGGTCACCATCCCCCCATTAAACTCCGATTTGAACCAAAGTGGTCTCCTTTTTTTATTGCGCACAAACTACGCACTAAAAAAGGAGACCACTTTGGTTCAAATCGGAGTTTAATGGGGGGATGGTGACCTTTGGATGACCTGAAAAATAATCTTTAATATCTCTTTTTTTTTTTTTTTTT